CTCTACATTTTTTGTAATCGAGATATAATAAAAATTGTCATCAAACTTTAAATTTTATAATTGATCTAAAAAAAACTTACTCTCCAAAAGTTTCACGTATTTAAAACTACTCTGCTCTACATTACATTTTTTTCGTAATTGTGATATAATAAAAATTGTCATCAAACTTTTATCTTTGATTTTAAATAATAGATGTGAAAATCATAGAATAAAACGCAAATACTTTAAATATCAGCTCGTAAATGTAAAAACAAATTAAAATAAAAGGCAAATTTCAAGACCGAAAACGAGCAAACATTTGGATGTTTTACTAATTAAAATATTTCGAATTACATGTAAAGATGTAAAAAACTGCTAGTTTCGACTGAATTGCAGTCTTCATCATCTTCATCAGATTTTACTCTTTTGTACTTATATTGTTATAATTATATAAATATAAAGGAGAAAGAACGAGGGCGATTTTTACTGAAAAAGTAAATAAAGAATCCGAGACACGATATTTTCATTTGTTATTATAAAAAAAATAGCTATTTTAGTGTAGTACAACTAATACAAAAACTGTTTGAAAATCGTTTGCATAAAAAAAAACAAAAAATATATTCGTGTCACTATACTCTACTTCAATATTTTATACATGTCGTAACGTATTTTGTTCCACAAAATGCAAAGAATTTTTCAAGCACGTTTCCGCAAGAGCAGTGATATCTCGCATATCTGATCATATTCTTGATCATTAAGTACCACATCAATTACGACGTTTAGATCTACGACGTGTCGACTAAACGTCATTACACCCATCCTCCGTTCCCTCGTTCGCCAAAGTATATAATTACGCTTTAATTATCCTCCGCTCGAGGTGATTCCGCGGTTACGTGAGAACGAACGTTCGTGTGCGAGCTAAACATGGTGACTACACGACTCTTACACAAACTAGGCGGTGTGTACGTAGTACACGTCCACGCGGCACTTCGATCGAGCCTTCCTAATAGAGATTCCGTGAAGCTTGTCGTTTCCTACCGGAAGAAACTTCGATTCCGTGATAACTTAGGGTATGCAATTACCATCCATCTAGCGGATGGCATGGGTAACCGGGGTGGTCCCGACCCCGAGGGCCGAGAAAGGGTGAGGAATGTATTGGAGCAGACAGATCGCCAAGGCTTATAAATCGACAGCAGACAGTCAAGTTGAAAATCTTGACCTTGATTGTACGAACGTTGATATGATCGATTTACTATTATTTTATAATAATTATTTACTATTATCTGTTCAGTTATTATATGATCTTCCATCGAGACCGATTGCTGTGCGCACTTCAGAATAAAAATATAATATAATTTTATTGATATGTTCGCTTTTATTAATGGATAAATAAGTAAAAACTTGTATGAAACGGAAGAAAAAGCTAAGGAATGATGATTGAGTCAAGAAATAATGGAAAATGAAAAAAAGACGAAAATATCATGACATTTAAAAAGCAAAATTAGGACATATTACTCTCAAAATGGAATTCCGGAAATTTTTCTTTTAGATTTTGTCTTGAATGAATAATAATTGAGTTAAGAAATAACAGGAAATGAAAGAAAGACGAAAAGATCATGCCGTTTAAATAGCAAACGAAAATAGCATTAACATTCTCAAAGTGGGATTTCGAACACTTTCCTTTGAATTCGTCTGATTTCTCGCCAATGTATATTTATGTTTTGTTGCGATTTACTGTTGCTACTAAAAATGTTAATAAACGAATCGACCGCAAAACAGCCATCGAATACACAAACCGTACACGAGTCGCGCGCTTTGGACTATCGCATTCGCGTCGCGAATACTACGAAAGGCTGATCGATCTGTCACGTATATATTCCGGGCGCACGCGAAGGGGTGGAAAATCCATGGCTTTTGGTAGCCACCTTCAAGGTGCTCCCTTTCTACGTTGGAGGGTGCTTTTCTCTTTCTCCTCTTTCTTCGGTTCCCTCTGATTCTTCTCCTTTCTTTCTTCCTCCGCCCATATTCGATGACGGATCGTTCGGCTGAAACGAGTTTTGCTGACTAACGGCTCGCTGTTTCTTTCGCTCCCTGCGTCCTCCTCCTTTTCTTTTCGTCTCTCCTGACGGCTTCGATCCGTCGCCGCAGCAACAGCAGCAGCAGCCATCAATGTCGGCGATGGAATTCCGATCGGAAGATTAGAGGAAACGATCGCGCAGCAGCGTACGGCAGTCGTCCAGAACGTCTGCGAAGAACTTGCGCGCTGCAGAAATCTCGCGAGAGTTACGAGCCTCACGGTCGAGTTGGGGGTCGAGGGGGCATCTTTTTCCGGCAGAAAGGAAGTCGCGGACGAGAGGGGGTATAGGAAGACGGCGTGGCGGCAGGAGAAAGGGCGAGAAGTTTTCCCGCACGGACCTATCTCCGTGTAGGCGAGTAAATAAGTAAACTACGAAGAGACTCGAAAAGTATCGAGATTTCTTCGTTGTTCGATCCGACTTGCATCTCGCAGCCACTCACTCTCCCATCACCCGTACCCGATTCCACTCTCTCTTCTTCTTCTTCTTCTTCTTTTTCTTTTTCTCTCGCAGTCCTCGCTTTTATTTGTAATTTTATTTATCGTTTTCCTTTAACATTAACCGCAAACTCGATACGTACTTTATTGCTTCGCTTCTTACCGATGCTTTTATGAGTTCCGCTTACACGATTTACCTTCGCGGGGCAAATGCGAGAAACAGTTCCGTCTTCGGTATTGTCTCCTCTGCGGCTGCATTTCCCGCCGGGTTTATCCCGCCGGCTCCTCTCTTCTATTTTTCGTTCGATCTCCTCGCGTATCTTCCTCACTGCGGCACTACCACCGCTCGCGGTCTTAATAATTCCGGATGGAAATGGAATTTGCACACGCCCGTATCCGCGCGCGCTGTCGATGCAACAGTGATGGTATAGTTTTTCGCTTTCGGCGCACGTGTAAAATCTACTATCCGCTGGGAGGTCTAGTCCTTCATTACGATCTACCATTTGCGTTGTAACGAACGAACAGCGGTTTCGGTCCGCGCCGCGCCGCGCACCCTGCTGTGCTGTGCATACATATAGAGAATTCACGCCCGCTGGCTTGGAACCCGGGTTGGTATACATTAGTGATTATGCCGCGATATTTCGGTTTTATTGTGCGGTCCGTATACCCCGACGAATTATTTAGCGAGTCCTGCACCACCGAACCGATCATTTATCGTTGTTATGCCGCGCGCAAGAGCGCGCTATTGCGAGGGATCGTGCTGGAGGCCGGTCATTCGAAAACTGATCAAATTAGCCCACGAAGTCCTCTTTATAGGCGTAACTTGATTAATGGAATAAATCAATTAAATTATTGAATGCAGAACTAACGTAATCACGATCGGTACAGCAAATCGTGGAGGGCGGGCAAACTAGGAGACTCGAAAACCCGATTATGCAACATGCAGTTTTGTCTTTCTGTTAACTTTATCTTTCGTCGATTGTTTTTAAAAAGGTTTTACATTGTAAAAAAATTAATGTTAAAAAATCTTAAGAAATCTTTTCGTATTTTCTTAAAAAATAAATGTTCTATTCTGTTTCACACTGATATATTAAAAAGGACAAATAATTGTTCCTGTTTCTTTTTTTCGCCTTAATACAAATCTCTCATAAATTAGATTCTATTCATCTAGAAAAATTATTTTCTCTATTCGCTTTCAGCGATCCTAAACGTAATGTTTGAAGAAAGATATTACAGATTTTTAACGAAGTTCGCCGAACGAGATTTTGTTAGGTACATCATAAAATCGGATGTTGTAATTGGAGAGAATAATGAGGGAGGATGTGCCGGAGTAAAAGGAAGGTAATAGGTATGCCGAGAGGAGGAATGCAGAAATTATGTAATGAGGGTAAAGTAGCGTCTTGTTTCAATGAGATGCGCATTATCTCTCTTGCGTATATATAAAATAAGAATGTATATCGATCGATAATTCGCAGAACACATCTCAGCAACGCGCATCTGTTTTAACTCGGTCATGCTTTGTGAACGAAAGCAGAGAAAAGCTTTGACTTTTCACGACGAAATTCTCCATTTTCATAATTGAGTGCTTTATCGAGAAGGAAATCAAACGAAAACTACAAGAAATAATAGTTATTTAAAATTTCCTTAAAAGCATGAATTTTCCCTTCTTTTTAGAAGGGAATAGCAATAAATTGAAAATAACGTGTTTTCATTACTAATAGAGTATTTATTAATAAAGTATGCATTTTTTCTTCTTTAAACTAATTATTTTTTGTTATAATCTAAAATTATATCAAATATGAAATAAATTGTTATTTATCATGTATATGTGTACAAAAGATAAATAAATCTGGACATTTCAAAATTGTAAGTCAATTTAAATATAACGTAAAATAATAATAACACTGTAATATTTAGCTTGAATGACTAAAAATAGATTCTAAATGGTAAAAGTTACAGAAGCAAATCACAATACATCCTGATATAGAAAGCTGATAGAACTCTTCTTTTGAATAAGAATTTCAAGACATCTATATCGACATATATCCTACGAGGAATGTCGGATATTTTTGGAAGCACAGAAACTGAATTTAGAATGAAGACGTAGTACAAAGACGGGTAAGATTACCTTTCTATTTCAAACACTATCGATTATAAACTAAATTCTTAAACTACTTATCAAGTCAACGAACCTTCCATTATGAAATTTAGTTACGCTTTAGTGATCTACCGAATAATTTGCACACGACAGAATTTCGCAGATTACGTTATATCTCTCTGCCAATATATGTTTGTCGATATTACGAAATATAGCTCCGAAATTTGAAACCATTTCCTTTTCAAAGTGCATGTACGTCGTTATGAGAGGATAAGATCTTGATATTACATTTATGAGATAAAGCTGCCGCAATAATCTGAGAGAATTGCACGCACCACTGCCGACATCGCGACTATTTCGCGCACGCAGAAAGCAGTTGACGTTTGTGTAGCTTATGGAGAACATTCTCACCTGCATTCTAGAAGCGCGGTCCTGCCCCTGAGGGTGTACACCGGAACATTTATGTGAAGTAGCTTCAGAGCAGCGACTGAAACAAAAAAAGAGAAAGGGAGCTCGTGTGAGATCGCATAAATGTCAATTGCGACTATATACGTTGTCGCTTGGGGGTGCTATCGATGCGATGTCGCCGGAAATACACGACAACGATTTCTCGAGTGTTCAATTATATTACTGATAATAAAAAAAAACGTTTTTTCGGAGTAAATACATCTAAGGATGTGATTTTTAGTTATAAATATTGATATGTAATAGTTTAAAGATTTTAAAGGGACAACTGGAGAAGGGGGCAATATTTTACTTATTTATAATATTTATATAAATGATTATAAAAATCCATTACTAATGAAATTGTTTTCTGGAACATCCTTTTGTATGTACATAATTTTTTATTTTTAATTTTCGTAAGTCCGTCATCAGTTCAAAATCAAATCCATCGAAATCGAGATGACGTGAACTACTTTTTCGATAATTTAAAATTAATCATATCTCTTTTAATATACTTCATTTTAATTAAGTATCAACACTTAATTTTCTTCTTCATTTTTTACAAAAGAGTTTTCTAAGTTATTCTATAGTTCTAAGTTTTTCGAAGAAAATGGGTGAGAGCTGTTGCAAAGGTTTGCTTACTAGATCAAGTTAGGAACTTAAGAACAAGTGCTACTTCGATACTACTCGCTTTACCGATATGTAGCCTATCTTGAATAGAGAATGGTTTTCAAATGCGAGGCTCTCTTTCGCGCCTAAAAATCGGTAAATCTCTTGACCCACTGCCAAGCGCACAAAGAAGTATTAAAAAAAAAACGGTGCCATAGTTATTCGACCTATGGCGGATCTTTTTACGTAAAAGTATTGCGCCGACCTTCGGTTGGAGTTCTCAATAGTGACGAGGGTCGACAAAGCTTGGAAAATTGTGCCGCGATTGGATGATCCAGAGAATTGGAAGTAGATCGTGCTAGATGCTCAAATAATGGAAGATAGACTCCGTTAGGACGTCTTTCGTAGTTTACCTTCCCTTTCTATCTTCTTTCATCTTCTCCTCGCTTGACATGCCCGAAACAACCGACAATTTTTATGAACCATATATTTCGAGATACTAATGAGATTTTACTATTAGAGAAAAAAATAGTTTTGTACAATAGTGGTAAATGTATCGTTTCATTAAATTATTCCATGAAAAATTAATAACTATTGATGTAAACACCAATATTTAATTACATCGTTTGTTTAAATCGAAAGATTGTTTATAAAATACTTTATTCATATATATTAATATTGTAGTATCTTCGTTTTTTTCTTGTACAAATCAATTTTTCGTTAAATATGTTAACTCATTTAAAATTATTCTTCAGAAATTTTTGTACAACATCTTTATCCATCAAACTAAGTTCCGCACATCTTAATAATCCGACGCGTTTTCATTCTGTTGCATAAAACTAAGGAGAAATTGTCGAGTCACATAGAAGGTCTAAGTTCAACTCTTATATTTTTTAAGCGTGACAAACTATATGTGTGTGTAGAGTACATAAGTATGCACATGCAACGACTAGTAGAGGTCGGTATCTAACTTTGTCGTCATTGCCGTTGTCGTCGTCGTCGTCGTCGTCGTCGTCGTCGTTGTCGTCGTCGTCGCCGCTGTCAGAAGAACGGGAATGGACGTGAAGAGCAAAAAGGTTAAGAGCAAGAATTCCTAGGCAGAGACGAGCTGAAATTTTCAGTACCAGATTAAATGTGGAGGCTAGAACATTCCAGACGCCGCGACGGTCTTGCACTCGTTCGTGCACTCGTAAATGTAACCCGTAGACAGTTCGTAAGACGAAGATCTCGTATACATATTAATTCATCGTATAGAATAAAGCCGGGACTGTATTCCGTGCATGGCAGTAATGAGAGAGATAAGAGAGTTTATTCCATTCTCGGGTTAATAGCGAAATATTAATACTGTGTATACTTTATATTATTTATATAGATAAAACGTAGCTTGATGGCAACAATGACGATTTTGATCACTCCAAAGGCAAAAAAATGAACGTGTTGAATTACAAATCTAAAACGATTATTAATTACTGAATTTTTTATCTACAAAATTGAATTTTGAAATTATTAATGCTTATTTTGAAGTCTACTGAGTATCAATTATTAGGTACAATATTGAGGTTGCAAATAGAATATCAATATTGAGAAATCAATTCGCTTTTCAGTTCATTATCAAACCACCTCCACTTTATGGATATATAAAGTTGAAATTCTCTAACTTCCCGTCACGACGAGGTATATTTCATTCCTTCGTCTCGCGACTCAGCCGCAATGTCTATCTTCTCACCCTTTCGCTGGCCTGTCGATCCTTTGGAGCTTCCGATGTCTTTACCCGACATGGTAAGTACCAAAATTCGAACGTCACCTCGAAGTTTTCGCCCGTCCTAGGACACGTCTAAACAGTTTAGCCAGCGACGCGCGCACGAGAAACGTCGGGCAAACCGAAACTTTCTGCGGAAACCTCACGAGCTTTCGTAATTGGAGGGAGGGGAGGGCGGGCAGGAGAAGAGACGAAGAAGGACTTGGGTCTGCTTCTCGATTCTGCATATACCTGGCAAAGTAAACTGGTAAACTGGTAATGTTCATCTGGTGGAAATTGTTATGGCCTGTCAGAAGCAAGCTACGGGGGTGACGTAGGTTCGAGGCGAATCCGAGTTTCGAGATCACCCTAAGAGGATTAGATAAGGGAGAACTGCCCACAACACACCAGTGTAACACATTGTGTGCGGTTTTTAGGCCATTACAAGAGAAAATCGATGCCGTCCTCTTCCCTCCTGCCGTATTTTCTGAGGCTGTAACATTTATGACCTTAACTTTAATACACGATTATTCATTATATCAATTTTTTAAACATGTTTTTTCTGCTTGATGCTCCACGAAGATATCGATTAGCGTCGAACAGTGATTTGTGTGAAGCAAAACGTGCTCGCAGGATTATCCATCCACGTGATTGTCGTTAAAGTCGTTAAAATACAATGGGTCGGCGCAGTTGGAATCGCGAACAAACGGGGGAGTAACAAACGGGCGTTTTGCGTTAACGATGTGACGTTACGCTATTATCCGTAACTCGAGAAGAAAAGTGACTCGATTACCGATGCGCTGAACGAGCGGTAAAACTCGTCTGAATGGCCGATTAATTCGTAGTTTAATCGCGAGGAACGTGACGCCGCGCATTCAACAATATTTGCGTCTTGCCGATCGTCGTCGGCTCTCGTTTTACCCTACGTCCATCGGCTATCTAACAATAATGTCCCTCGCTTCCCGTATTCCAGCCTCGTTGAACCGTTGAATTACACGATCGGCTTCAAGAGAGATAAGTGACCTCTCTCTCTCTCTTTTCCTCGACAAGTCACCTTTGGTCGTGACGCCGGCCAAGAGAGCGCGATTATATTCCATCGAGAGGATCGTGCTTCGATTTGGCCCGAGAATTAATTGCACCGAGAGTTTCGGCTTTGCATAGCTGTCGGAGCCGTCGCCTCTTCACGAAACTCGCTAAGTTCGAGGCAACGATCACGAATATCGTATAGGCGGAGGGCCTCCGCCTACGATGACTTAACGCTTGTACTAAAATATGCATCGAGAATTTTGAACAATCAATAGTCTGCTTGTGATAATAATACATCACGGCGTCTGATAGCTTGTAACAATAAGATTATGACTAAGCTTTTTCTTTGTAAATCTTTGATCCCCTAGAAAAAACTTTGAGAATTTTTTGGTTACGAAAAATAATCAAATAAAGATTACAGAAAGCAATTAAAAAATTGGAAATTGATAAAAATAACTTACTATAAAAAGTAGTACTAATAAATTATTATCACTCATTAATGTAACTATATTGCATTTGTTCTTAAACATGCTATTTATTGTCGGCTTTTTGTGGTACGTTATAAATCTTGATCTTCATTAAGAATCTTCTTTATATGACATACACAATCTCACGCGGATTAGAGACTTCACGCGAACAATGCCACTTTATCAGTCAGTGTAACCCCGAAACTACCTTGTTCTTGCTCTAAACGACATTAAGAGACACCCTTCTCGCGCGGGCTATGTATTACCGTGTTAGCGCCGGGTTATGTTGTTCTTGTACCAGACAATGCGGAGAGCGCTATTTCTGAGGATATGACAAGCTAATTTCACTGTAACTTCCGTTGATATCCTTTCCGTGGAAACTGTTTCTGAAGTCAGTAAAAGCGAAATGTAAGAATACGAAGATATGATAAATTCCTTCCAATTTTTTGTTGCCCTCACGAGCCATTTTCAAAGTTAAAAATTTTCACTCATTCTATTCGCCGAACGTCTAATAATATTATCTCGATTTTCGCGAAATTTCGCAATCTGCCTCGCGGACGTTGTCATAAATCGATCGGGGATCCATTATTAAACTTCACGTGATTTGATAAGCCCGCGTAATCATAAGACTTCAAAGTCTCGTCTCCTTATCGTATTTCACGTCGGAAAGCGGGACTGTAAAATATTTAACAAGGTCCCGATGAATATGCGTGTTATAACACACTAAGACCCAGAAATGAAATCACACCGTAAAGTGCGATAGCTCTGCATAATGGAATATATGCGCGGGGAGAACGTGCATGGAGGAACGCGGCGGGAGAGGGTGTAGGAATGCCCCGTCGTGTGCACCGGAACTCTATTTTAATACTGACTTATCTAAGAGCGGCGTAATAACGCACCTAAAAAAAAGCGCTATCGTTAAAACTTCTTGCGAGTCGGGGGGACAACGTGCACTGAGGTATCTTTAATTTATGCAGTGTCCGCGTTTCGGGCGTTACGAGAGTGAGAGAAAGAGAGGGGAGGGAAGGGGAAAAGAGAGACAGAGGGAGAGACAGAGTAGCCCTCCGCGTTACGGTGGCTTTCCCGGAACGAAGTTGAAATTCATTATAAGCAGACATTAATTTTACGCGGATTAATAACGACGCTTCCCTGTCCTTTATCACGGGCGGAACACCGTGAGTCGGCGCCGACGCGACGCCGCGC